ACCACCTCCGCGCGCGACACCTCCTCTGCGCGACACACCTCCGCGCGCGACACACCTCCACGCGCGACACACCTCCTCTGCGTGCGACACACCTCCTCCGCGCACACCACCTCCGCGCGCAACACCTCCTCCGCGCGACACCACCGCTCCTCACCTCCGTTCCTCCGCGCGCCTCGCCACCGCGAGCGCAACACCTCCTCCGCGCCGCACCACTGCTCCTCACCTCCGTTACTCATGTGATGTCTTAGTTTTTTATTTGTCTATTTTTAAGAACTTGTGTTTTGTCATTTGTGTGAACTTTTGATCTTAAATTTGTGTTAAGAACATTTATTATTAATGTAATTTGCTATTTGGGAGTTAAAATATTCAATTATTATGTTATTTTTATTTATTTATTTATTTATTTATTATTGAGTAATCTCTTACGAGTTTACGATACGAGTTTACGGAGCCTCCACGAGATTACGTAAACTCTCGAGATTGACAACCTTGGGTATGCTAATACAAAAAATGCATCTGTTACTTAGCAAAGGCACACATATGTGCAGAACAGAGCATTTTTTTTAATCACATTACAGTCCTCCCTCATAGACAGTCAATGAAGGCTCAAAAGTAAACAGGCAGATTTAACAATAATGGTATATCATCTACAAATTTAACAATGTGTTCGAGAACAAACAGAAATGATAAGCTATTTCCTTAGCATAAAAAAATCCTTAGATTAAAATGACACAAAAAAGGCATACCGGAATCACATGAGTTGTAGTGAATCCAGGACACATAGCAAGACCATCTTTATCACAAACTCCTTGTTGTTGATTATATTTATAGCTGAATGCTGCGTCAACGCCAAAGGCTGCCATGACAGAGAAGCATAGATAGCATGTCAATAAAATTACAAGTACAACATCTAGCATAGAATAGAGATAAACAAGAATTTTTCTGATAAGAGCTTAACCTTTTCCAAGTATTTGGCTAATTGAGGGTCCTTCGCCTGAAAAGTGCCAGCTACCTGCCCCGTGATCAGTTGAGAGTCGCTTCGCGCTGACAAAATCGTCGCCCCCATTTCCTTTGCCAATGCCATGCCAGCCAATAACGCCTCGTACTCGGCCTGGTTATTGCTTGCTCGGAATTCGAAGCGCAGTGATTGTTCCAACAAGATTCCTCCCGGTCCTTCCAGGACGATGCCTGCTCCAATTCCTCCAAGGTTCGATGCTCCGTCCACTGACAAGATCCACTGCATCTCTCTGACCTCACCCTCATCGACGGGCGCGGTCAACTCCATCACGAAGTCGGCTAATATCTGGGCTTTGATTGCCCCTCTCGGCTCATACTTGATGGAGTGCTCCGACAGCTCTATAGACCACTTCATCATTCTTCCTGCCAGGTCGGGCTTCTGTAGTACCTGCCTGATCGGATAATCGGTTCGGACTATCACTTCATAACTCTGGAAGTAGTGTCTCAACTTCCGCGCTGTAACCAATATCGCGAGAGCCAATTTCTCAATCTTCTGATACCTCGTTTCCGCGCCTTGCAGGACTCGGCTTACGAAGTATATCGGAACTTGGGTGCTTTCCTACTCTTGGACCAACACTGCGCTGACTGCTCGGTCGGATGCCGATATATAAACCAATAAGGGAAGATTCGGCCACGGTTTTGTTAGGATCGGCGGCGAGGCTAACGATTTCTTGAGTTCTGTGAAGGCTTCCTCGCACTCGTTCGTCCAGGCGAATCGATCGTTCTTCTTTAGGCATTGGAAGAGCGGCAATGCCTTGTCGGCCGACTTGGACAGAAAACGGGATAATGAAGCCATCCTTCCCGTGAGTTGTTGCACCTCCTTCACCGTGGAAGGACTCCTCATGTTGATTATCGCCGAGCACTTCTCAGGATTCGCCTCGATGCCGCGATGAGTTAACAGGAAACCGAGGAATTTTCCCGCTTGAACTCCAAAAGAACATTTCTCGGGGTTCAGCTTGAGCTGGTATTTTCCTATAGTTTCAAACAGTTCCTTCAAGTCGTCTAAATGCCGATCCAGACTCATCGATTTTACCACCATGTCGTCGACATAAGCTTCCACATTTCGGCCCAGCTGGTCCATCAACACCTTGTCCATCAAACGTTGATACGTTGCACCTGCATTTTTCAAACCAAAAGGCATTACCTTGTAGCAGTAGTTGGCCTGGTCGGTGATGAATGTGGTTTTGTCCTCGTCGGCTGGGTGCATTCGGATCTGATTGTAACCAGAATACGCGTCCATGAAGCTTAGCAACTCATACCCCGACGCACCATCGATGAGGCAGTCTATATTCGGTAGGGGGTATGAATCCTTCGGGCACGCCTTATTTAGATCAGTGAAATCTGTGCACATTCTCCATTTTCCGCTGCTTTTTCGTACCATCACAACATTTGCAAGCCAGGTCGGGTATTGTATTTCTCGTACGAATCCTGCCGTTAGTAACTTGTCGGTCTCTTCAGTAATGGCTTTGCGCTTGTCCTCGCCAAACTTCCTCCTCTTTTGAATGACGGGCTTTGCACGTGGATCGATGGCTAGTTTGTGGCACATGAAATCGGGGTCCACTCCTGGCATATCTTTAACGTGCCACGCGAACGCTGACATGTTCGCTTTTAACACTTCAATCAATTTCTCGGCGTCCTCCTGGCTGAGGGACGTACCGACCTTCACTTTCTTTCCTTCCGCCAACGTCACCTCCTTAATGTCCTCCGCAGGAGCTGGTCGACGATCAAAATGGCTCACCCTGGGGTCTAAATCGATGGAGTGGACCTCCTGCTCCACCTGCGCCGTATATAGTCGCCTTCGCGCCTTCAAACTGTCACCGTAGCATTTCCGAGCAACCTCCTGGTCCACTCGGAGAGTTCCCACAGTACCGTTCGGTAACGGATACTTCACCTTCAGATGGGAAGTGGACACCACCGCTCCTAACTTGTTCAGGGTCGGCCTACCGATCAGTATACTATAAAATGACTGCGCGTTGACTACCAAATACCGAACAACCACCGTCTTCATCTGAGCACCCTGGCCGAAAGTCGTTTCCAGATCGGCATATCCCCTTGCGGTGACCTGGTCTCCTACAAAACCCACTAGAGTTCCTGCATAAGGAATTAGTCGATCGTTAGGTATCTTCATCCCCTCAAAAGTTTCCCAGAATAAAATGTCAGCGAAACTTCCCTGATCGATCAATACACGCTTCACATTGTACCCCATGACGATTGCTGATACGACAACGGGGTCGTCCTCATGAGGGGCTACTCCTTCGTAGTCTGAGTCCGAGAATGAAATCTCAGGCTGAGTAGGTCGCCTGAATTTTGATACTGTAAGTACCGACCGAGTGTACCTTTTTTGGGCAGCAGAGGTAGCTCCCCTGCCTGCGAAGCCCCCTGCGATGGTGTTGAAATCCCCATGGATGGGCTGCTGATGGGCTTTCGACACCTTTGCTGGCGCATCTTTGGGAGGAGTTCTCTCTCTACGCCTATCCCTCCTGGTGTCATCTTGCGTGTGCCTGGGTCGCCTATCTGACGAGCTTCCCTCCTGCTTTCTCGCCACAAACTCCTTTAGTCGTCCCTCCTTGACCAAGCGCTCGATCTGTCTTCCCAAAACGAAACAATTTTCAGTTGAGTGCCCGTGAGTCCTATGAAACTCACACCAATCGGTTTTGAAAGGGCCCAACTGACGCTTCGTCGCCGCCGGGAACTCAAACAACGATGCGCTGTTGACATCGTGGAGTATCTGTCGCCTGGGTACAGTGAGTGGAGTAAACTTCTCTTCTTCATTGCTGCGCGTCCACTCGCCCCTTGACCGACCACCGTGATCGGCCTGCCTGTAGTTGCCCTCCTTCACGTTGTATCGGTCACGTCGTTTACTCCAGTCTGATCGCGGTCGAAGATGCTTGTTTCCTTCCTTATTGCTACCCCCTGTTTCTCGGTTCTCAGCTGCCCTCTTAATAATCGGTTCTCTTCCGTCTTGATGTGGCTCAAGGCGAAAGCCCTCACCTCCGACATCGTTTGACAATTCACCCTTTCGAGCGCAATGTCGAAGGCTCCGGACTTCAAACCTTTCTGGAAAGCGATGACCGCCATCCTCTTGTCCAGAGATGCTATCCTCAAGGCGACCTCGTTAAATCGTTGTAGGAAATCTTTCAGAGACTCCTCGCGTTGTTGCTTGAGGTCGAACAAATCCGACGTGATCGGCGGCTTCTTTTTGTTAGCAGCGAATTGTGCCATAAACATCCGACTGAAAACATCGAAGTCGGTGATGGATCGGTCAGGGAGGCCACTGAACCAATCCAGCGCCGCCTTCTTGAGTGTCCCCATGAATAGCTTGCAGCGAACCTCCATACTTCCCCCGCAAATCAACATCTGAGCTCGGAAATCTGTTAGATGTTGATTGGGATCCTGCGTTCCGTCGAAGGGTTCGACCTGTGGTATTCGATGATCCCTAAGGATGGCCTCGGCCTCTATGGCTTCCGAGAAAGGCCAAAAATCCCTTGGGACTTCCAACATGACATCCTCCTCCACCGTTCTGGTGTTGGCTTCTATTCTGGCCTGTAACTCATCCGCTCGCCTCCTGATCTCCTCGTTCTCGCGCTGAATGGCCTCCTCTCTCTCCCTGGAGCGTGCATTATCCTCCCGTAGGCCATTGATCATGGCCATCATCTCCTCCATGGTAGGGGGTTGAGAGTTGTTGTTGTTGCCGCCTCTCGCCATGGTAAAGTGTAGGTCTTTCTGTATGACTTGGGGCGTAGGAAAAGTTTCACCGTAGCCCCACGGTGGGCGCCAAAATGTTCCGGCCAAAGGGTGGACTAGGGTTTTTTCCTAGATCGTGCCTTAGAGCCAGAGCATTCAAAAGTGTAATCTGCCTTCTCAACTCTAGGGTTTTGGGTTTTATGGTATGTCGTTCATGGGCCTCTTGGGCCCCGAGAATGAAGGGATTTTCCTAACCGTTCTTATCACTAGGGCGCGGGGTTAGCGTGGCTGAGTCTAGTCGTTTATGACCGACTGGTTCCATACGGAGGGTCCAGTCGGGTTACGACCGACTAGGTCCATACCGAGGGTCCAGTCGGGTCAATACCGGGTAACAAGAGGAATCGAGTTTGCAGGTCGAGTCGGACTATGACCGACCATGTCTGTGCTGAGCCTTTGGTTGGGTTAATGCCAAGTGGAAGATCATGGTCGCCCTATTGCCGAATAGAAGACCAGGTCGGATTGCGACCTGGACGGCACAGTTATTAATTAACAACCTCGTGATCCCAGATGCCACTGCTTAAGGCTTTATGTTGAATTTGATAAGCTTTTGAAACGCTTTGTATATTGCATTTGTAGAATGGTTTAAGGAATAAAGAACAATGATCATCGGAGAATCTAGTGGAATAGTGCTTGAGAAAATATTTCTTAAGGGTACGACTCTCTCCCACTATATTGATCTACACTAGTATAAAAGAGATAATTTACGTCAGTTATTTTAAATTTTTTAGGTCAGAAAAAGGTCTGACGTTAATGCGGGAGACGTAAATTTACGTCGGTTTAACCGACGTAAATTTATATCGGACATTACCAAGGTCTGACATAAAAAAGTAGTAAAAAAGTAAGAACGGGCCGTTCTGCTTGATAGAACAACCCAGAAGAAAAGGCCAACAACCCAAACAAATAGAACAACAAAAAAACTGAATAGAACAGATAGCCACAATAGCAATGCGAAGCAAAAAGGTGTTAGTGAAACCCTGATACATACTTGATAAGCTGCAACAGTGTGCGAATGAGTAACGAAGAATTCACCTCACTCTACAGAAGACAAAAAAAAAGATTCTGCAACAAAGGAGAGGGAGATGGTTTACAAAGAAGAATCTAG